TTACGAAAAGAAACGTTTCGGCCCAGATGATACGGTGAGTGAGGCTGAAAAGAAACAAATGGAACAAGAAGTCAATGCCCTCGCAAAAGATGTCCACAAAATGAATGTTGAAGTAAAATATTCAGTTAAAAAACTACGTCTCATAGCCGATGAACTCGATGACGTATGGAAAGATTGCAAGATTGCATCTGCTCTTGGAAATGGTGCTGGGATCGTAGGTGGCTTGATGACAATTTCTGGAGCAATTGCAGCAACTGCAACAGTTGTAATTAATCCTTTGGTAATAGCGGGAACAGCATTTGGAGTGGCCGGAGCTTGCGCAAACCTTGGTGCAAATTATGTAGAAAGCTCCGCCAATTCCTCTGGTATCGAGGAAGCGGATAGGGCTGTGGCAAACGCTAACCGTGCAATAAATGACGTTAGGAAAAGAATTCGCCTGTTGAAAGAAGGTAAAAGCGTGGCTCGACTGGTGTTTTGTGCCAATCTTGCTGTCAAAATGCTTGGTCCTGACCATCAGGCTGTTGCCTTAATAACGGGTCTTCTAACAAGATGTGATAGGCTTTTCAAAGTTCTTCCGGAATCTGCAGTGCATCTCATTTCTCAACTAGCACGGAAACTTGGTGANAAAGAAGGTAAAAGCGTGGCTCGACTGGTGTTTTGTGCCAATCTTGCTGTCAAAATGCTTGGTCCTGACCATCAGGCTGTTGCCTTAATAACGGGTCTTCTAACAAGATGTGATAGGCTTTTCAAAGTTCTTCCGGAATCTGCAGTGCATCTCATTTCTCAACTAGCACGGAAACTTGGTGAGGCCACAACCAGTGCTGCGGAAAAAGTCGGTACACAAATCGGAGCCAAGAAAGCGGGTGCATTCATTGCCGGAGTGAATGCATTTTTCATAATCGTTGATACCGTGGAGCTGAGTTTCACTATCAGAGATATAGTCAAAAAAAAAGGTTCGCGTGCGGCCCGATGGCTCAGATGTAAAGCAGATGAATTGGAGGAAATTCATTGTACGTGATTTGTAATACGAGACTCTCATGTTGCGGGGTATTGTCGTAAAAAGCTGTTTTCTAAGCACAGCTGTCACAATATGCTTTGCACTGCAGATTAAGAAAATGAGCTGAGCTTTAAATATTACGGTACTTAGTGTCGTAACTTTCTGGAAACTTTTATAATCTTTAAATATTCTGCCCTAAATGCCTCTGTATTTATCCTAGGCAAGCGTGCTTATTCCTATTTTCTTCACTCTTTTTTGGGTTGGACTTTAACTTGGAATGGGATAAGTAATTAGGCCTCAAAACAACATAGTGCTAATTGATTTTAAACTTTAGAGGAATTTATCTTGAAAACAATGCTTTTGTAGCTAC